TTTTCACCATATCAATACAATAAAACATATTACCTTTTTCATAAAGCGAAGCAATAAAGGCTTCCACACACTTAACAAATATTCAGCCAGCAGTGATGAACACTCGTGCTCCGGCCTAAATTCTAAATGCAAATGAAGAATTGATGATAAAGAGAGCAAGCCATGAGCTATAACAAGCCATGAATATTGATAATGATAAAACGAAGGTCGACATTAAGCTCTAAATCTAACAATACTTTAGATACCAAGGTAAAAATTTCATTGAGTATCAAAATAAGTAAAAAGAAGGCACAAAAGTCTGGGAAGACATTGTGAGAAATAAACTTTACAAAGAAAAAAAATCAAGTTGGAGAATTGAAAACTCAGGCACCGAGACTATATCCTCGAGTCACCCTGGGAGTATACTTGAAAAGATCTAGCGCCTCAGCATAAATCATAGTGTAAGGGCAGAACTTCCTTGCCTTCTCCATCACTCATTCTCGGATTCCAAGTAAATCCCACATATTATGTTAAAGAGCATCATACAGTGCCCGCTTTAGGTCGACCACCTCATCCTGAACAACTTTCAAGGCCTCTGCATCCTTCAGATGCTCCTCTATTTGACGATCCTTCTCCTTAAAAGGGTTATAAGAAACCTTGTATCGCTCCTCTGCATCCTGAAAAGAGCCCTCCAATTCAGCCACGCGAGCCACCATGGTAGAAGGGGAGTCATGTATCTATTAGACTATGATGAATTATCTAGAGGGGGTGAATAGATCCTCAAATTAAAAATTACCTTTCAAAAATTGTTATTTAAAAACTTATTTGAAAAATAATGTTGAGCGGAAGGTTTTTAGCCTAGATCAAAATAGTAGTCTAAACGAACCTAGTTATTGGAAACTCAGATATGCACAACCCATATAGAATTAAGATAATAATAAATCAATTCATAATAATATATCAATTAATAGTTTAATATCAAACACAAAAATTTCATATTTCCAATGAAATCATGTTAAAAACATAACTTAATAATTTATCAAACATGTGACGCACAATCAATTTTTCATAATTTTCTTTGAGCTTTATTGATATGAAAAACCATTTAGAATCAAAGTTATTATAAGTTTATCAACAAAGCAATTTAAACTTTAACAATAAAAGATAAATTTTATATGAATCGGTTGATCAAACAACAACTTCAACAAATTGTATATAGAGAGTAAATGAGAGTAAGAAATAGAATATTTCTATTTGTCAAACACTTGGTGTGCGTTCGACTTTTTAGAATTTTTCTTTAAGTTGTGTTGATATGAAAACCACTTATAATTAAAGTGATTATAATCTAATCAACATGCCACTTTAATCAAAATAATATCAGAAAAATTCTTACGAGTCAATCGATTAAACAATGTTATTCGATAAATTACGTAATGAAAACAAATGCAAGTAAAGAGATAGTAGAGAGCAGGACAAGGATTTTTTTACACAGTTCCCCACTTTCGTCCTTGCATGTGGGTACGTCTACACCCAATTCCAATGTGGAATTAGGATACTCTTTTACTTTGCAAAAGTATGATTACAAGAGAAGTGTTCAAGAGCCACCCTGCAACCCATAACTGTTTGATGTTTATTCAACCCCATCTTTTCTTTTGATCTTCAACAAGACCAAGACACAATAACTACCAATTGATTATCCAGATCTTGCTACTAATTCGCGTACTTTATCTCCATAGCTTTTGTGCACCATCAATTGCACCTATTGCAACACAAGACTTCAATTTGATCCATTGTTCTTGCACTACTTCCTTTACATTCTTTATCTACAAAGGGTCATTTACGTTCTTTATCTCCAAGGATTTTCACTAGGATGCAATACTCTCTTGAACATCTTGCACAAAACCCCCCAAATCAATCAATGATCTTGGAGGACAAACCTGCGGTTTTTCTGGATGAAGACCCCTCAAATCTCAACCCAATATTCCCGGCTACACAAGAACCTAATTAAACGTCATCAATATCGCCTAGATGGCACCCCAACAAAATATCGCTACAATGGTTTGTTAATGTGTATGCATAGGTTAGAGGTTGAAGGTGAAGAGCACTTGTAGGAAATTTTTATGGTATCATCGAGTTGGAATGATGCATGAATGATATATTTATATTTGGGAACTTTTTAGGCAAAAGAGGGAAGTTTCAGTATGAAAAAAAAATGAAAAAATGACCCACAAAACAATATGAGCCGACCTTAAAGGCTCTATGAGCTTGACCTGTACAAGATATAGGAAAATAACTTATTTAGGACAGCACATGAGCCGACCTGAAAAGCTTTATGAGCTGACCTGTACAAGACAAAGGAAAAACTTCTTATTTAGGACATTACACGAGTCAGCCTAAAATTTTTATGATTCGGCCTGAAAATGTTATGAGCCTGCCTGAAAATGTTATGAGCCAGCACATATAAGTGTGTGTTTGTGTAGAAAATGATTTTTCATGAATTTGATCAACTTTAAACTTGTTTTGAATGATTTCTAAGACATCTAATGCAAGGGTACTCCAAACAACACAGAGATGTTGTCCAATATACATAAATGCTAAGTTTTCCTAGTTTTGACATCATGTAAAACATCTAACGGTGAACTTGCACTCACAGTATATTCATTGACTCTTGCAAAGAGTTGGCAACTTCAACTTCCTTCTGCCGATTCGTAAGATCTTTATGAAAGTTGGTGCACTTTATCTCCATATCTTTAGCCCTCTCTTTCCAAGTATCCTTCTCCTTGAAACGATTACCCGAGGCCAATACATAACTCGTCCAGCGGAAACAAGAGAAAAAATTATGCCAGCTTTGAACATTCTATGAGAAAGCCAAGAAGTCAATTCCATCTTATCCCCCTCAGGAAGAATCTAGGAAAAGCATAAATCTGACGTCCAAACAATAGTAGAAATCTCTTAAAGAGTACGTGGGAGTCGGGAATATAAAATATTGGGTATCTTTATAAAAGGGATCACCTCCCTAAAAGCATCATCTTCGGCAACCCAAGTCCGTTTTAGAGAACACTTTGTCTGAGGATACTAATGTTCCTCCTCCCAGACTTCCTTTGACCAAAGCGGATGTGAGGTTGGTTCCCCCAATGCTAAAACGGCTTCGATATCCATATGATAATCCACCTCGAGCATAGAAGCCAGAGATTCTATAGTCGAGGAAGGAGAAAGGGTTGGAGCATGAGTGAGAGCAGAAGAAGAAGTCTTAGTATTCACCATAACTCGGATACCTTAAGCATCGACAAGATTCTAGAACATGTTTAGCTTGCTTATTTTTTCCATACTATCTGCAAAGCACAATCACACATGTCAAAACCAAAAAAAAAGTGTGAAACCCTACTCTCACTGAAAATACCCCACCTCCCCTCAAGACCTTTTTCAAATGTCTTTATCAATAGAAAACACTTTCAACAATTGTCTTGGAGTTGTGTGAGATGACTTAGGAGCTGTAGAAATAGCTTGAGGGAAATTTTGGTTCATCTAATCGATTAGGACTTGGGTCTAATCGATTAGATCAATTCAAACTTACACCCTTAAACCATTTATATTGTGCCTTAATGATGTACAATAACCATATATCTTAAACTTCCATTTTGGGAACTTATAATCAATTTTTTTTAAATCTATTAGGTTAGCACTTTCATATAATTGATTAGCTAACGGTAAAATTCATTAAATGAAAATTTTGTTTTGGGCACACCTCTAGACTTTAAATAGAGGCCACATTTCTCATTTCAAATCATTCAGTATCGTGTTTTGACACTACCCTCTCTCACTCACTCACACTCTCTCTAAGTTTTTATTTTAACTTTCTCACACTAGATGTTATAGCTAAATGCTTTTGTAAGGAAAGTATCTTTGTGAGTGAGGCTATTTATGTAATTCTATAAAGGGTATAATTGTAAATGTTCACCAAGGATATCGTTTATATATACCTTGGTTGAATATTTCCCAATTAGGAATTATTTGTGGTTAGAAGTTAAACCTGATAAAAGCTTGGGTTGAGGTTTGTGTGATCAGTCCTGGGTTGAAGATTAGATGATATTAAAATCTTCCCTGGTTCTTGGTTAGCCTGGTTAAAACCAGAATAGGTTGAAGATTATCCTGCTATTAAAATCTTCCTAGTTTAAGAGATCAACTCGTTTAAAATCTCATAGGTTGTTTGTTTATCCATTTAAACCAGAGAAATTGAGCTCATACATTTTGAAACTTGAAGACTAATTTCTCCAAGGTCTATGTTCGTGAAAAGAAGACTAATCGCTTTAGTCCATTGTTGGGAAGGAAGGTTGGACACTTCACTCTCATCATTATATTGAAGAAAAGACTCAAGCGCCCATATCTATTGTCTTGTAATATTTTGTTTGAAGGTCAACCACCACTTCCTTGTATAAAGGGGTTCGTGAGCCTTTCCTACTAAAAGGTCTCAAGTATTATTGGAAACTATCGATACCAAGTCTTAGGGAGAGGAGTAGGTCCTTTTAATTTGACTGAACCTCTATAATTCTATGTGTTCTTCTTCTTTCCTTAACTATTTATTTTCTGCTATTTAATTTCTGTTGCTTTAACTTTTAAAAATGTTTTTAAACTCTTATTTAACTTTCCAAAAGTTTTTAAAATCGTGTTTTTTCAAACTACAAAATTCACCCCCTCACCTATCTCTTGTATGTGAAGTCTCAAGTCCAACAACCTCAAACTAAAAAAAATCCAGTTGGAGCACTACTCTTGTAAACAAACACTCATGGAATGGGACCACACAGTCGTCAAAAGAGTTGCATATCCTCTTCTCCTCTTGCACCGTAAGGACAAACCAGTCTGAAGGATCGCCGACTATAATGCAAACATCCCACATGGCAACATCAATGCTCTGAGTCGAAAAAGTTCCTGCCAATATTGCAGTTACCCAATCATACACTTGCACCCTCATATGACGTCAAAGGTTCAAATGCTCTAACACCTCTTTATCGTAAACCTACAGTCTACAAGCGAGTCTGAATGAAATCTCTATTAAGATCCCTTCTTTGTAAATGGACTCGTATCTCCTCTTCATACAAGATAGAAATGGGCATAGGGATCCCGGTGCAATTTTTTCTCCCTCCAATATATGATTTAAGGGCATCTAACAACCCTAAAGAAGAAATTTCACCCTTTATGGAAGGCTCAAACATCCCTTCTGACCCATAGTCGTCAGATGTGGTTATAACCTCTAGTCCTACATGGTTCCTGCTAAAAGAAGGGTGAAGAGTATTAGAGGATGACATATATGAGGTTCTCGCTTCAAAATGTTTCATTGAGTCAACCTTATTGTCGCTCATTTTGGCGAGATTAGACAGAAGATGCTGAAAATCTTGAGTGAGAAAGGTACCTTGTTAAAGAAGGTTGATGAAGAATGAAGAATGAAATAAAACTCTGAATTACTTTTAATAATGTTCTGAGGAAAAAAGTAACAAAGACGTTTTTCAGAGAGTAATTTAAAGTTTGAAAGCTGAAAGGTTGTGAAAACCTCCAACTATTCAACCCACATTATTTATAAGCAATGTCAATTGAAGAATCAAGACCGACTGTGAACAAAGATCTCAAGATCAACAACTATATTTCGACTCATGGTTACACGCCAACTCGAGTGCACTCAAGCACTCCATGAATTACACCACCCTAGTTGGTCTCATCATCGCACGTGTCAGAAATGGGTGATAAAGCATATTAGTGATAAAACCACATTAAACGCACTTGCTTCCCATTACTTTTCAAAAATTAATCCCAAGTTATTCAGATATACTTCACACCAGACTGCAACATAAAGATCTCTCAATAAAATTTAAGGCTTACAACGGCTCTTTCGGTACTCGGTCAAGCCTTAGGGGCAACTGTTTTAGACGGCCAAAGGTCCAATTGAACAAGATCCAATCTGTCAAAAGCCCACTCTAATCGACCTAAATATAAAAATAGATCACATGCAATGAGAAGGTACACAATCTCTGATTTCCAATTTCACTTTACTCATCTTGAATCTTGAACTGATTTGGACGTTAGAGTGTTAACCATGCAGATCCAGCTTGTGCTGCTGTAAACGAGATCGGAGCCACCATCCGAGACCACTATTATCATCTTCTCAATATTTCTAGTTTCTTTATGGATTTAATTCATCCATTTCTAATCCCAAAATGAAAAAAAGGAATTTTTTAAATGTAAAATTTACAACTTTAAACTCAGAGTCCTAAGAGTTCCTTAAAGTTAATAATAAAACAACTTTTCATTCAAAAACTACATATGTTCACTACTAAGTAAAATACATTAAACTATGATTAGGAAAGATATATAACCACGTGGGACCATGCGTTGTTATGTAGCGTATAGTTGTATATGTGGTACTTATAATTATGGTTCAATGACCGTCGTAATAAACTAGAAAGCGCGTGCCTTATAAAAATTGTTATTCCTATTAATCGTTGTGATATTATATATGAATAAATGTCAAATTTTCATACCAGAATCAACACTAAAACATTTTTGAATTCATATCAATACTTGTATTATAAGTACACAATTCCATTAAATACATCAAAATTTGACCAATTCGAGGTATACAATCTTTCCATCTTCCAAGAGAAGAGAGAACACATAGATTTAAAGAAACAATAATGAGCAACTGGTTTTTAAACTTCCAAGAGAAGAAGATGAAGAATCAGAAGGAATAATATAAAAGCGGAAGAACCAAAACTCAAAAATAACTTCATCCAAAAGAATCAACATGTGTTATCCTACTCAAGCTACCAACAATGTTGAGAATCAAAATATTGTTGTAGAGGATAATGTGGTGCAAAACCAGCCTCAGAATCAAGATCTTGTTGTAGAGGGTGTTGTGGTGTAAAACCATCCTCATATTCAAGATGTTGTTGTGGAAGGTGTTATATTTAGACTAATGAGAGCTCTCAGGGTGAGGAGAAGAAAAAGAAAAAGAAGAAGAAGAAGAAGAAGGTTGAGAAGGAAAATGATGATTTTTTTTCCCGATTATGATGATGACAAGGCTGACTATGATTGGTCTAACTTTATCTCAGTGGGAGAATTTAGATTTGATTACGGTTTTTGATGATGTAATGAAAGTATTATGTAATGAAGTTTTAATCTTTCTGCTTAACTCTCTTAAGGTTATCAACTTAAATATTCAACTTAAACTATCAACTTAAACTACAAAATATATAAAACACATAACTGTAATTGAAAATTCAACAGTTTGGGATGAAGTGACTCATAAGAAACCGTTTATTAGTTGCATTCTTACCAAGTTCACAGCATCATTAACTATTATATTTCATAATAAAGTAAATATTAAATATAAAGGAGATAAGAAAACATAACATTTTCAAATTTCAAACCCTACTTCAACTATTACGTTTCATAACAAAGTAAATATCAAACATAAAGGAGATAAGAAAACAGAACATCTTCAAATTTTCAGAAAATCTCTATGACTTTAGTTTGTTCTTCAAATTCTTGTTCTTCTTTTTTGAATCTTCATACATAACCTTCAAATAGCCCACGTCTTCAAACTCTGGCATCATATTACTCTCATCTTCATTTTCCAATTTTTCTCTCATGTCTTCATCCCATATGAACAAATTACATGTTTCATCACTTTTCCAAAATGGACATCTCCAAAAAAATCTTCCTTTATTTTGTCCTTTCTTGCATTGGTACGAAACCATACGACTACCACAACCACAAAAATTTCCAGATCGAGATTTTACAATGAAAGAAGACATATTAACACCTTTGTATGAGTTTGTCTTCAAATGCGACATTGAAAAGAAACTTAAAAACAACAATGAGTGTGGGTGTTGTTGTCTTCTTCCCGACGATGTTGACGGTGTTGGTGTTAGGGTTGTTTCTTTTATCAGTGGAAAAATAGGTACTTAGTGTTTAATATATAAAAAGAAGCAACAGTGTGTAACAATGGTTTTACAAAAGAGCCGTAGTGATATCTCTATTATTTTTTAATTAAATATAAATATAATTAAAAAATGTGCATTAACGTAAAAGGGATAAAGTATTTGAGAGAACCGGTGATCGAACTCAGGAAACTGGACAGTATATCACGGTTAGGGAATTAACCGTAATTACAACCTTAAAATTTTTAATTAATAAATAAATTTGTATATGAGTTTATAAGTGTCATCACGGTTTTAAAACGATCCATAATAACTTTAGCATACACATTGTTATATGCGCGTTTTATAACAGTGGTTCATCGAAATGTTATACTATCATTCATATACACCATGTTTATCCTAAAAAAAAGTTTAAAAAGAAATTATAAATTGAGTTATGTTAAACAACCAAAATAGAAACTCACAAAAGAGATCCGCAGGATAGTTTACGGTGGTTTAAAACTTAAAAGTTACATGGTGTTTATGCCATACGAGAGTTAATCTTAATTTTTCTATAACTAGATAAAGGACCTCTATTATTGAAGGGGTTTATTTTTATTAATATATATATATATATATATATATATATATATATATATATATATATATATATATATATATATATATATATATATATATATATATATATATATATATATATATATATATATATATATATAAATAATTAATGTAAAATAATTTTATACTGTCAATCAATTATAATCATGTTAAGTGACTGATTATACTATTATTTTTAAATAAATTATATGACATGATTAAATGATAAATTTTTATTAGATGACAATATAAAACTATTTTATACGGTCAATGCACTACCTTTTAACTAAAAAAACATATACAAAATAAATTATGTATTAACTCAATAGATTATCTACTCGCGATCAATTAGCCAAAAGAGAAATGATTACATAGGATATGGATAAACGCTACATTCTCTGCACTGCGGAATAGGAAAACGTGGAACATATTTTCACTAGGTGTATTATTAGTAAAAGAGTGTGGGTAGAGGTTTCTTCTTGGCTGGACGTAAAAGAAGATTTGAGCTTGGATGAACTTTCTCGTTTTCTTATATTTAATCAGAAAGTGAAAGATAAGAGGGAACAACATACTATAACAGTTATTTGGTCGGTAACTATTTGAAATTTGTGGTTGATACGAAATGCGGTAGTTTTTAAAGGTAATATTTTTAATTTTGATCATTGTATGTCATCTATTCTCTTCATGTCGTGAAAATGGATGTCTATCTAATATAATTGTTGGAGTTTGAGTTCCTATTTAGACTGATACACCAAACATTTTTATTTTATTTTAAAAAGATTAATTGATTAGGGTTTTTCTGTTTTTGCGTTCGAATACCCCTTCTACTTTTCGTTTAATGAAATTGAATTGTTAGTTACTAAAAAAAATCTCACTATGTCCTTTTTTTTTTAATTATTATTATTATTATTAATATTATTAATATGTTATACAATGCTCTAATATTTACTTATTTTTCTTCTTAATTGCATTTTTACTATATTTTATATATTTTCTTCATATATTCGAAAATTAAATAGTTACGACTTACACAAATCACAACTTAGACGAATAATTTATCCATTGGTCTAAATTTATCCATTAAAAATCTCAATAAAATTTAACTTAAATCATAGAATGATCATGATATTCACTTGTTAAAGTGAATAATATAATGCCAATACTGTTCTACTCTATTAGTTAGATAAATTGAACTCATTTTTTTGCCATTAATAAAATAAAAATTGATAAGGGTTCCTTTCGCAAGGTATCTAGCTATACAAACGACAACCAATTAATTAATAATAAACACTTACTAATTCAATATTCGAGACAAACATTCCCTTAAACTGTAGTTCGACAAACAAACAAATAATCTCTTAAATCTCGATTTAAGACTAGCCTGACTGACCAGAGACTTGGAAACGAGAAACTGTTATAGTATTCTTTTGGGCAAGCTCACCATAACAAATATCTAGGGACAAAGGATGGTGATAGAGTATACTATATAATTGTCTCTGCCGTACATTCAAATCTTTGTCGTGTGCAGTGATATTTTATTTCTTTCTAGTGCACACACAACATGCACATGACACAACAATCTTTTGTACAACAATCTTGTCTTTTTTTCTTTCCGATAAATAAATATACACAGTAGAATAGCACCTCCTTCTTGTCTTTACCTTCTTACCGGTATATTCTCTTTTGATTTCTGATCCATCCATTACTTTATTTTTCTGCTAACAATACTGGATATATATATATATATATATATATATATATATATATATATATATATATATATATATATATATATATATATATATATATATATATATATATATATATAT